GTTTGAGGTTCTATTGGTTGAATTTTTGGGCATGGCATGGTCTTCTTGTTCATCACTGAAGAGAGAAGAGGTCTTAGAATTAGAGGATGAAGATCCGCGACCTTTGAAATGAGCATCATCATCAAACGGGTTGTTTGAGAATTTGTCACAGAGGAGGTCTCTTTGAGGAGGGGGAGGAGGCCAAGTTGCGCAATGATGAGATGCTCCTTCCCAATTGAAGGGCGGGCGAGTCTCGTCTCGTCTCGACCAACTCTGCGTATTCTCTCTCCGCCGGAGGCTTGTCGAGCAATTGGTAGAATCCAGCGTTGTTTCTGTACATCTCGAACACCATTCAGACATGCCCACCATGGCTGAAGCTGTTGACAACACATGCCAAGGCACCAACCACGATGCCACCCACTGTTGTTAAGCCCCCAAGTGCTGATCCCACCGTCATAGCGGCCATCAAGATGGCCCCAGCCACAACCATCTCCCTATTGCAGTTCAAAACCAGCTTGATGAGCCTCATGTACTCCGCTGTGTCCCTCTCCCGTACGACGCTGCCACCTCTGCCATCTCCCTCTCCATCTCAGCGCTCCACCCATTATCAGTCGTCTCCTCCTCAGTCTTGGAAGGAGTAGCAGCAGCATTTCTCTTGAGCCACCACGTTGTGGGCTTTATTTCAGAGGGGAACTTTTCGAGCAAGGGCAGGGGATGGGCTTTGTTGATGGCCAACACTCAAGCCATGATATCATCCGGAAATTGAGAAAGCTCTGGGCGGAGAGAGGAATGAAGGCCCAATGTGGATTGGATATGCGAGTGGAGGCTCTTTAAGAGTCGTGCGGCTTTCCTCTGCTAGTGAGAGGGCTGGATCTTGCTCATCACGCACACCATGCCAGTTTGAGTTTTTTTACTGTTTATCTTTGTTCTTATGGTACTCTTTCTATTTTTTGGGGCAAAAAAAAAAAAAACAGATGTGGAGTTTTGTTCTAAAAACATTTAACTTTATGGATTTTTTATCTTTTAACATTAGTTTTTACCCACCAAAGTCATTCTGAGCAACTTATTTGCCCAAAACAAACCTTGTAAAGACGTACATGTCCATCTCTCTACTCTCTCTCTCTCCTCTCTCCCCCAATCTGAGCTTTACAGTATACCCCTCTCTCTCTCTCTTCCCCCCAATCTGATCTCTGCGCCATACCCTCTCCCTCTCTACCCATCGCTCTCTCTCTCTACCCTAACCCATTGCTCTCTCTTTCTCTATCTACCCCAACCTATTTCTCTCTCTCTCTCTCTCCCCACCCCTATCTAAGCTAGGTGCCGTACCCCAATTTGAGCTCGGCCCTAAACAAATCCGACTTTGTTGAGCAACATGGCTTTGAGCCTCAAACTATTGATTCTAGAGAGAGAATTATCCATGCTCGAGCGCCTCAGCCATTATTTCAAGGCCTCAACCAGTCAATTCTAGAGAGAAGGTTATGGGATTCATATTGTTGGGGTTTGGGATTTTTATGCTGAGTAATGAATCTAGAGAGAGAAAGTGAGGATGCATCTTAGAAAAAAATGTTGTAACCAGCTCATCACTTTCAATGATTCACCTGATACAGCAATGCATGCACCTGCATCCGTTCTCATTCCTCACACTGCACCAGAGAGCTAAATTACATTTAGAGAGAGGGAGAGACTCATCATCCTTGCATTCATTGATGAAACATGGCCCTAATCGTTGAATTTGGTGCTGAAATTTGTATCAGAACACTTGAATGTGGTTTTGCGCAAAAATACTAAATAATGGTACTATGGTAGTTACTTCCATGGACGCAGGGTGGAAAGGAGAACGGACGAGAAATACAGAGAGAGAGAGATAATGAGTAGAGAGAGATAGGGGTATGGCGCAAAGCTCAAATTAGGGGAGAGAGACGCGAGAGAGGGGGGGAGGGGGGGTTCGGGTTCAGCGCAGCGCTCAAAATTGGGGAAGGGAGGGTGGGGGGGAGAGAGATAAAAGATTAAGGGTGGTTTTTTGGTTTGCTTGGCACAAGAGAGATGGATGCGTACGTCCTTATAGTATATGTTTAGGGCAAGTAAGTTGTTCAAATTGACTTTCATATGGATAAAACCGGGCTTGGAAGATTGAAAACTTAAAAAAATCGATGCACCTATAAATGTTTCAAATTTCAGTTAATGAGAAAATTATATGCGAAATCAAGGTATATGGGAAAATTTTCCCAATAAAAATTAAAAAGAAAATTTAATATGAACGTAAGAATAGAAATTTGGTGGGCCTTCTTAAACAATCAAATTAGAGCGCACATTAAAAAATTCACTCAAAAGGGTTGTTTTGATACCTAAATATCTTCAAATTGAACTCGACATCAAGATGCACGGACATGAAAAAAAAAATGAATTTCAAGTTTTGAAAATAGTATATCTCATTTTTGAACTATCAATTTTCAAAAAAATTAAAGTGTTCATAGATCTGCCCTATTTACATTATTTTTTAGGTTTTAAATTTTTATAATTAGAGATGAAAATATATTTTAAGACTATCACAAAATTTTCCAATATTAAAATCACATTTCTCAATATTATTTGAAAGTGCACTTTACTTTGATTGTTTAGAACTTCATCTCTATCCAAACCGCACCTAAATGGGGTATCGGCGCAGCATTAGTGCATCAACCATGTCGTTAAAGTGGGATCTCCCTTGCCAGACATTGTTGTAAATCTAAAATTTAACCGGCTTTTCCCAAAAGGAGCCTACTATTTTCTCGCAGAGGTACAATTTACATTTATTCCCTTGGTAAAAAAACATGCTTGGGAGGATTTTTTCAATTTGAAATTTTGGGAACCATCAAAAAATCACTAGATGACTATTTTCAAAAGAAAAAAAATTTGAAATTTGAGTTTTCTAAAACTTAGATCTCACCATCTAAACATTTGGTGTTCTCTATTAATCTTAGGATATTATTTTTTCAAATACATAGAGGCACAATTAGGAAAAAATAATTTTTTATTAATCTACAGTTTGAAGAGGTCATATCCATAAAAAAAAATTTATAAGGGGCTCTAAACAATCAAATTAATGCACAACTTAAAAATTCACTATAAGAGGTTGTTTTAATATTGAAAAACCCTCAAATCGATCATCTCGACCTCGAGATATATAGACATGAAAAAAATGGATTTCAAGTCTAGAAGTACGTCTCAAAATGCATTTTCTAGACTGTCAATTTTCAACATTTTCAAGTGTTTATAAATGTGCTCAGTCTACACTATCTGTGAAGCTTTAAATTTTATAATTATAGATGTCAACCCATCACAATGATTTTTGTTACTAAAAAATCATCTTGCAATATAATTTAGAGCTACGCCTTAAATTTTATAATTATATATAAAAATAAATTTTCAGGCCATCGTGGCAAAAAGTCGTCTTTCGATACAATTTAGAGGTACGCCTTGTGTTGAATGTTTAGGGCCTCAACCTTATAAGAACCGCACCCTATCTCTAAAATTTGGGGTCCTAAAATTGATCATCTGTGGGGTTTTACTTGAGGAAGTAAATGGATGGTATACTCCCAAGGGAGTATAATAGACTTTTGAAATTCCAGACCTAAAATAGACCACTTCAGGCAAAAAGCAAAAAGGACAAAATGGGCGACTTAGATCCTAAAAGGAGAAACAGAGAAAAAGGATTTTTCCATTGTGATGGCAACTTTTCTCCATGTTAATTGGATGTAGGCCATGCTTAATAATCTTTTCTCCATATTTATTGGATGTAGGCCATGCTTCATAACCCATTCATCACCTCTAGTGTCCTTCCAAAGGGAGAAAACGACTAAATTTAATTGTTTAATGACAAGACAAAACAACCATTTTCAAGCTCAACCGACCTTTAAAATATCAAATTTTCTATGATCTCCACAAAAATAAACCGGTCATATTCCCTAAGCAAATCATTTTCATCACAGAGTATTTATTTATCAAGGGCAAATTTACACCTAACATAAAAAAACATGGGCGTATTTGTGTAAACAATTGCATGCCTATCCTTTTTTTTTTCTTGGGGGAAATGGGCTTATTTGTGTAAACTTAGAGTGGAAATTTAGATCCCTAATCTTTGATGAGAATGGAGTCAGATACCTCATCATAAGGCTCTTAGGCCCTTAACCTTTTGTAAGAGTGGAGTCGAAACCTCCTCATGAAACTCGACAATACTACTGCCAAGGCCTCAAGCCCTTAACCTTTGGCGAGAATGGACTCAAAAGTCTCATCATGAAGCCCTACGATACTACCACCAAAGCCCAAGGCCATTCTTGAAAAGTGGTAAACTCATCATGGGGCTCAACAATACTACCGCTAAAACCCCAAGCCACTCTCGAAAAGTAGTAAACATCAGTACGGATGTGGACCCCAAGCCTTTTGATGAGAATGAAATCAAAGACCTCATCATGAAGCCAACAATACTGCCGTCAAAGCCCAAAGCCATTCTTGAATACGTAACCAATTTTAATACGTCATATTTAGCTTACCATCTAGAAAATAGCAACTAACAACCCCCTTCCTAGATAAAAAATGTTTTTGATATACAATGAAACTAGTCAATCTAAAATAATTTGCAATATTTAATTATTTGACTTTTTTATTTTTCCAAGCTTTCTTTTTTTAGAAAAAGGTTAATAAGTTGGGAATCTAAACCCTACAAATAAGACCTGACCACTAAACCAATAGGCCAAAAAGCTACTAATTTAACCCTTTTAGAAGGCCAAATGTGAATTCAATCTGTCTACAAATTACCCCCGATCCAAAATTTCCATGAGGTCTAACCACCTTCTCACTCTCACACACACCCAGAGTCGCTTTAATTGATTAAATTGAGCTAAATACATGTTAGAAAATGAGGAGGTTGAGCATCGTATTTTCAGGTATCAAGCCTCAAGGTTTTCTGTCCAACTCATCTTGTATTGAATCCTAGTTCAAGAGATTACCCAGCTTATTTACCAATATGATTGATTGGGAAAAAATTGGTTCATGAGGGTTCTGTTATCTTTTTCCTTGCAGCAACACCACAGCCAACATGGCTGAAATTTCCTCTCTTGCAAAGAGATTCACTCAATGTTATCACTCAATGTTATCAAATGGTATAAGCAAGAGCAAAGAATTCTTTGGTCACTGGATGTCTTGGGACTGAAAATCATACACCTTTGCTTTACACCTGGTCTTCTTTTCTCCTTCTCCCATGCTTACCAGGAGACAAATGAGGAAGCAGATAGCCTTGCCAAATATGGCGTCTTTACCCTCTCTATCTTTCTCTGATGAAGCTCTTATTTCCGCTGTGTAATTAGATGCTGTTATAGCACAATTTCAATAAAAGTTTCTAACATTGTAAAAAAAAAAAAAATTGGTTCATCAAGCACTGCCACCGAAGGAAAATGGAGAAAACTTCCTCCAAGTTGGCAGGTAAATAACGGCATTCATCACTGCCCAGCCTTGAATAAGCTTGATGGAACCTGCACGACGCAAACAGTTATTCCTCAAATAAATTCTCTCTCTCTCTCTCTCTCTNTCTCTCTCTCTCTCTC